TGAGCTTTATCCTTGTCTGTAAAAACTGAATTTCTACACAAAAGCCTTGATCCAAATTACCTTCAGCTTTTCATAATGTAAGTAGATAAAATTAACCTTGCAAATAGAGATTTTCATAATACACATCATTGCAATTGACTTTTACAAAGAATGGTCAATTCTAAATTTAACTTCCAAATTCTGACTTTTGTCAAGTTGACATCTCACAATTGTTTTTTAATGAATACAAAGTTAATAGGTAATTGTGACTTTTTATCTCACAGTTTTAAATATTTTCCTGCATTCTTTTTATAAATTAAAAAAAAAAGTGAAAAGTGAAAGTGACGTGACGTGTAGCCAAGTATGATGTCCCATACTCGGAATTTGGATTTAACCCATCCGAGTGCACACACACAGCAGTGAGTAGTGAACAAGCACACACACACACACACACACCGTGAACACACTCCCGGAGCAGTGGGGCAGCCATGTGCTGCAGCACCCTGGGAGCAGTTGGGGATTCGGTGCCTTGCTCAAGGGTCTCACCTCAGTCGTGGTATTGAAGGTGGGAGAGAGCACTGGTTATTCACTCCCCTCACCTACAATCCCTGCCGGTACCGAGACTCAAACCTGTGACCTTTGGGTTACAAGTCCGAATCTCTAACCATCAGACTTGTAACCCAAAGGTCACGGGTTCGTGTACAATATATATAAGATAATATATTTAAGATAAGATAGTATAATAAATGGGGTTTATTGATGATAGTATAATAAGTGGGGTTTACTGCTCCGGGTGTGTGTTCACGGTGTGTGTGTGTGTTCACTGCTGTGTGTGTGCACTTTGGATGGGATAAATGCAGAGCACTAATTCCGAGTACACTCTTAAAAATAAAGGTGCTTAAAAGGTTCTTCACAGCGATGCTATAGAAAAACCATTTTTGGTTCCACAAAGAACCATTCAGTCAAAGGTTCTTTAAAGAACCATCTCTTTCTTACCTTTTTATAATCTGAAGAACCTTCTTTCGCCATAAAAAACCTTTTGTCAAACGTAAAGGTTCTTCAGATGTCAAAGGTTCTTTATGGGACCAATTAGACAAAAAGGTTCTTCTATGGCATCGTGAAGCACCTTTATTTTTAAGAGTGTATGGGTCACCATACTTGGCCACATGTCACGTCACTTCACGTGTGTGTTCCTAAATAAGATAATATATTTAAGATAATATAGTATAATAAATAAGATAATATATTTAATATTTAGAATTTATTATTTTTATGTGTGTTAAATATTTATTAAAAACAGAAAGCAGTGCATGATGATGTCATATTGCCCATTAAGTTCAAGTCATTTCACATGACCGAAAACGCATGCTCTCTTGAGTAGGTACTTATTTTCAATAAGTAATTACTTTGTGGCGACTAAAAAAGTATGTTCAGTAAAAAAGTATGTTCAGTATAGTATGAATGTAGTCCGGACATATTGCATTCACCATGGAAGAATGCAGATCTTCTGGCAATTGAGAGAGATAATCAAAAGAGCCACCTGCATTTGGCCACCATTCTCTTTTCCACCCACTCTGAGCCATGTGAATAATTTCTCTTGGTGTTTCTGACAAGCTCTAAATGTCCGCAGCTGTTTCACTCATCACACAACCTCACAATATTCCACATTAAAGATGTTCTGGTGTTTACCTGCTGAAACTGTGCAGTCTGAGATGTGTGTGTATATGAACACACGAGTATATATATATATGTCAAAGTGCTGGTAATGAATCATTAGATGAGACAAATTATATAGCCATGAGCTCTTGAGCTCTTCTGACATTTAACACTGCTCCCAAATAATGCTCAGAAGCTGTAGGTTTAAGTTCTCATAATGTTCAAGTTACTCACATGTAGTTTATTCTTGATATTCCTCATCAGTCTATAGAATCCAAAGCAACAGAAAGCAGTGGGCAGTTGCAGAGGTACAGCAGGTGAGAAGCAAATCGATCTGTGCACTTTCATTCATATAACAGAATTTATCTTTATTCGCAGGCTTATTTTCACTTAATTCAAGACTGTTGTGTGTTCTTATATGGATGGTTTTCATGTTTCTAAATATTTAATTGTACTTAAATTTGATTTGTTTTGTAAATCTAAACACTTATCACATATTGTATATTTAAAAACTCAATGTGTGCAACTGCTATGCATTTATTGTAACTGCTTTCACAGGTGGGATGTATAGACAATAACTGCTTGATCAAACATGTAAAAGTGAATAAAAGCTAAATATCTTTAAAGATCTTTAGAGCTCTTTTTGTTGTTGTTGTTGTTGTTGTTGTTTTTAATAGAACATGTAAAAACATCACCTGAAGTACAAAATGTGCCGGAGAATGTGAAGTGTTGTTTTTACAGACGTCAGTAAAGAGACCAAGATTGCAGCATGTACTTAAAAACATGTTTGGAAAGCATTTAAGTAAATACCCATAAAAGCCAGAGTAAATGGAGGTTCACTAAATCAATATCCTCAAAATGAATA